ATTGAGACATTGGTAGGTAGTAGTGATGACAGAAAAAGAGCATAGATTTGTGAGCCTTTCAGAAGTAACCTTAGTGATTAATCAAATGTTAGGAGTAAAAGAGGGGAGGAATTGCTGACATACTAAGGTTTCTGTATCTAATACAGATGAATTTCACTGAATGGGCTGAAACAAAGCAAGGGATGAAAGGAATAGTTCATGTATGGTGAATGTATTCACATTCAGGGTTGAGTTTGTTCAATGAAAACTCCATCTGTAGTCTTTTTATATACGTCTTCCTTATAAAAATTAGAGGGGATATATGGCTGAAGTTGGGAAATTTGAGGTGGTATTTTATCTGTAAGAACTCTTAGGCCTAGAGGCACATTTAATCATTCCAGGCTACTCCTAACAATTATCTGTAGGATTTTGACTTTCCAATGGATCTTGCTTTGTAGGTTTATACCCTAGTTCCTGCCTGAGAGGTTTATACACATGTACTGAGCTCCATCAAAGCCTTTCAATAAGCAAGAACTAGGAATTTTAAGCAAAAATGCTAAAATGTGGTTATTTGGATAATAGACTGGATTGAAGACTGTTAATCATTTCATTACAAACACAAAAGGATTGACAGAAGGTTAAATCGTAATAAATCTAGGTTTAACTCCCGGTGCTTTATAGTGACAAATTTTCTCCCCAACGTTGTAAGAATACTTAGAATTTTCACTTTAGTTTCATTATGTTTAATGCAGGACTGTACTCATGTAACTCAACTCCTTATCTATGATTTACTTGTGTATGAAGCCCCCAATCTTGTTTATGTTGCCCAAACATGGCTGGGAGAGACAGCTGTGACATTATGAATCCAGCTGGCCACAGATGGATCTTCAGTGAAGCATGAATCCATATTGGTTTGGTGATCTATGTTTACTGCCTCCTGTTAAACTTTCAGAAACTCAACTCCTAAATCACCTGGCATTGACTATATTCATGTACATATAAGTAATAGACTGAAGTGAACTGGAACTTTTGTTGCTAGTGATCAAGACTCTCCCCTATAAGATCAATTTACTAGATTATAGTTTTATTGACTATTTAGAGCCTGATTCGTTTATGCCCATTTAGTACATAGTTTTCACTAGGTACAATAGTCTTGATAGCTTTTCAGGCTATTATGATAATTATGAACATTTCTAAGGTCCTGTATATTGCTGTTAACACCCACCTGTTACGGATTTGACAGTTAGGCTTGAGATCTCAAGAAAAAATAAAAACTGAAGTTATAGCCTGTAAAGAAATTCATTTAGAATTTTTAAAGAAATGATATTTTAAAGATATTATTGATATTTACCTGGAAGGCTGGTAAACCGCAAGATTTTCTAGATCTATGCACAGGGGAAATAATTAGCTAAAGTATAAAACAAAACAAACAAAAGATGTAGGAATAGTTGAAACAATTAGCTACAACTCCAAGCGAAACTAAAAATGTTAATGGTGCCTCCTAGCAAATAGAATTTTATTCTGATTCACTCCCTAAAACATTAGGTATGAAGCTTCACAGCTTCACTTTATTAGAGTTCAATGTGATATTCAAACTGGCTAACATTGCTTATATAAACATAAGCACACTCTGTCCTTTGCAACCAGTACAGGAAATATTACTGTTATAGGGTATGCAGATCAATGAACTAGTAGTTGCAAATTTTTATGTCAGGCAGCAAATTTGTAATTCTTCTGTATATTTCTCTAAAGCAGTAAAAGCCAGAATACCTACTACCTACTACCTTTTATATAGCCTCTATGTATGTATATATATATATATATATAGTAGTTATTTCATAAGTTGTGCTATCTCATCTTCATTGTTACCATAGTATTCAGTACTCACCACATGCCCACAGTTCAAATATCGCTTTACTGCTGTTTCTAGGGTTTCACATACATAGATCTACCCATGCCATGCAGAAACATGAATAACTTGATTCACTTCATTAATTCATACACTAAACAAATGTTCACTGATCACTTATTATATGCAGGCAGTGCTCTAAGTGCTGGGGAATGAAGGTGAAAAGAATAGCCAAAATAACTCCCTGTTGTTATCAAGTCTTAGACATGGCTTTTCTCTTGATTTTTGGTGGTATGGCCCTGTTTCTTGATATCTTAGTAATATTTCAATGTCTGATGGATGTTCTATATAAAAACACGTAGAGGATCTAGATGATATTTTATTCTTCTAGAAAATGTTCACTCTTTCCTCTGTTGGATGGGTAGAATAGAAGCTCATCACCTTAATCCAGTCATGAAATGGAGTGGGGAAGGACTGATTCAGTTTTATCAAGGACCCATCCATCTCTGGTTTTTTCTCTAGCCTTCCATTGCTCTGTGTGTTCTCTTGGTCCTTTCCTTCTGGCAGGATCTGAAGTACAATAGTCTCCTTAACGTGGTAAAATTGCCAAAGCTCTGCTGTGCTTCTCACAGACTTTCTGCTTCGTCTCTTAGCCTCCCCCCGAACATAATTCATAATTTGACAAATGTCTTGAAAGTAAAGCCAGCTGTGTATCATACTTCCTTCTGGACCCCTTCAAGATGAGGATCGTGGCTCCTTAAGTTTCTAATGTTGTCTCTCTAACTCACTGAGATGGCCAATATTTTATTTAGATTTTTTGTAGTTCTTGGCTGGATCATTGATCTCTTGCAAGCTTATCTATCTCATCCCTAATTTTACTTATTTATTTATTTTTTAAGTGTTTATTTTTGAGAGAGAGAGAGAGAGAGAGAGAGAGACTGACTGACTCTGCCAGAAGGGGCAGGGCAGAGAGACAGGGAGACAGAGATTCTGAAGCAGGCTATGATGCAGAGCCCAATAAGAGGCTCAAACTCATGAACTGTGAGATCATGACCTGAGTTGAAGTTGGACACTTAACCGATTGAGCCACCCAGGTGCCCTCATTTCATCCCTATTTTTAGATACTGAAATAAGAGATTGTCTTCTCTTATACATACCTATATTACCACAAAGGGTGTACCCCCAAATTTCCATCCTAGTTCAATGGATTCTAGAACTCACTGGCAAAGTAACAGATAGGGATGTGGCATTCAACACATCCTTTGAAATGTCACTGAAAGAGCTGGACAGTTATCAGAGCTAATACTCTAAAGTACACTGAGTTCACTGCCCAAGAACTGTTCAGTAATAGTGATACTGAGGGGAGTAAGACCAAGGTGTCCAAGTTAACTTGGGGGCTTTCATGCATAGGCTGTTTAGTTTGGTGAACTTGGTGGGAATCCAAGACTCATCGTCACTCTGGGGGGCTGCAGCCTCTGCATGCTGCTCTTGACTTCTGTTATGAATTATCCTCAAAGGATATAAGTCTTGATCTTCATGTCTTCTAAAATACTGGGGAACAGAATAGATATTCTTTGTGTTTTTTATATCTCACTAACCCTTATAGGAAGAAGATACAGCATAGTGGTTAAGTGCCTGCATTTGGGAGACAATCATTTAGATTCAAACCTTGTCTATTTACTAGATGCTTGACCTTGAGAAAGTTGCAAAAACTCTTTGAAGCCTCAATTCCATATGTGTGAAACAGGAATCATAATACATTTCATTGCGCTGACTTGGAAGGTATTGGAGACACTGTATTTAAAGTGCAAATAGTGATCTCTGGAATATTGTAAGCAAGCAGTTTATGATAGCTATGATTTCTTTGGCCATTATGGAAATCCATGGAATAGAGACCCAGAATTTTGAGGTGAGATCTTAAGATTTTTATAAAGATCTTCTAAGGTTGGTGAATGAAGCATGTGGGAAAAAGTTGTTTCAAGAGTTCATAAGTTTATTTTTGTTAAGTAAAACCATTTAAATATTTGTTTATATTATGGATAAAAAAACTATCTGAAATAACTCCAGAAAAAAAAAAACTAAATTGGAGATGATTTACCTCTCAATGACTTCAAAAATGTATTTCTTTATAGTTTCACTAAATAACAAACATATCATTTTCTACTGTATCTTATTTTAAAGTTCATTTAAGAAGAATCAAGGTTAACTAATACTCTTATGTTTAAGAAAAGGAACAAAATTTAATGTAAAAAAAATCTGAGCGAAAAAACCTTAGACTTAAAAAGAGACAGAGAGAGAGAGAGAGGGAAATTTGATTCCTAATTACCATTCATCAGTTATGTGGTATTGATTGGGTGAGTTAAGTGATCTCCCTGTGTCCCAGTTTTCCTGGAGAAATTGTACCATAGGAAAATAATACTTAGATTTTCTTGAAATCAAATAAGAAGAAAGAAATGAAATTACATGCAGTAAGTATAGTCTTGTTACTTGCATTTAATGATCAGTCATGCCTTTGACTCTCTTTGGGCTGTAAAGAACATGAATTAGTGTTATAGGAAGTGGACAAGAAATTGTGACACAAAAAGAGGTGAAATAAAATCTTCTGGTTATTGTTATTTATTTAAGTAATAATTTAAACCACATATATTTGAATCAAATTTTACGTTACTTCATTGCATTAAAATTTTTCTCAAATGCACCTTTTTTTGACTATTGTTCAGGTATGATATTCTATGTAAAGCCTAGTCCCAGTATGTCTTCAATAGTTCTGATTTGACAGAACTGAAAGAAAAGTGAGCTTTTCTCTTCCCTTTCAAGTTACTCTAACTCAGGAATTGTTTCCCCTCTCTTCATACCTGAGTGAGCATGAAATGATGCCTTTGCTGAGTACCTCTGTTTGATTTTCCAAAAGCTGTTGTCAGTCTTACAGCTTGAAAATGAAATGCACGTGGTAATTGGTATAGCCACAGCCAGCCTTCAAATCTAATTGGAACTGACCCAGACACCCCCAGAGCTCTTCTGAGCCTTTCAGATCTGTAAGCATATGTGATGAGACAAAAGCGGGAGATCTTGTTGAAAGGGAGGGAAGTCCCTTTGCGTGTTGCTGAACCAGAATTCTTTGACGATGTAGCTCTCTCAGTCTGGACAATGTCTTGTGTGTTTGTTTCCACAGAGCATATATCATTACAGACTATATGGGCATCCGAAATGAAAGTTTCATGAAATTAGCTGCAGTAGGGACCTGGATGGGGGACTTTGTCACAGCTTGGATGGTAAGAAATTTTAACTTCACCCATTTCAAACATTAACTGGAAGACATGTTCATAATGTTGGATAAACACCACTTTTGATGGATTTAGAGCAAGAGTTACTTCTCTTTTGAGTGAAACAAATTCATGAATACAGAAAATTTAGATATTATATGTAGTATTTGTTTACTTCAGGGGGAAAATTAATGCAACTATAATATTAATGATGGCTGTCCACCAGGAAATATTTATTTATAACATACATACATATCTATCTATATGTATGGGCATACAAACATATACACATTCATAAAATTAATAGAATTTTTTTTTATTTCCTATTGCACATGTCAAATTGTGTCTGTCAAAAAAGGATTTTTTTTTTTTTTTTTTGACATGTGCAGTTTTCATGTGAATGTTGTCTGGCCTGTCTCAGAAGAAGTATTCTTAATGACTATTTTTATTTAAAATTTTCTTCATAGCACATATTTATAATTGTATTAATATTATTTTACTTTCATTTAATGTTTTTATATGAGTATAGTTGACACCTAATTTACATTAGTTTCAGTTGTACAATGTACTGAATCAACATCTCTGTATGTTATGCTGTGCTCATCACAAGGGTAGCTAGGGCTTTTAAAATAGTTTTCTACATTTGTTTTCTTCATTGAACATACTAACTTAATGGTGCATTATTCATATTTTTTATTATAAGCCTGCAACAAATAGACAAACCATATTTCATGCTGAGTTCCTCTGTCAAGAGAGTAACTTCTGTCTTTTTTTTTTTTTTTTTTTTTTTTTTTTTTTTGCTTTTTGTTTTCATTAAATTTTTTTTCAAGTGTAATTTACGTATGGTATTATATTAGTTTCAGGTGTCTGATATAATGATTCTACAATTTTTACATTTCTCAGTGCTCAACAAGATAAGTGTATACTATTGGGGCACCCGGGTGGCTTTGTTGATTAAGTGTCTGATTTTGGCTCAGGTCATGATCTCATGGTTGGTGAGTTCGAGCCCCACGTCGGGTTGTGTGCTGACAGTTCAGAAGCTGGGGCTTGCTTCGGATTCTGTATCTCCCTCTCCCTCTGTCCCTCCCCTCCCCTGCTTGCTTGCTCTCTCTCTCTGTCTCTCAAAAATATATATTAAACAAATGCTTAAATAAAAAAGATAAATGTACTCTTAATCTCCCTTGTCTATTTCACCCATTCCCCACCCACCTCCCCTCTAGGAATCACCAGTTTGTTCTCTGTATTTAAGAATCTGGGTGGTTTATTTTTATTATTTTTTTTTTTTTGCCTCTTTTGTTTGTTTATTTGTTTTGTTTCAAGTTTTTATTTAAATTCCAATTATTTAACATATAGTGAGTGTAATATTAGGTTAAGGAGTAGAATTTAGTGATTCATCACTTATATGTAACACCCAGTGCTCATCACAACAAGGACCCTCCATAAATACCCATCAATGATTTATCCCATCCCCCTGCCCACTCTCCCTCCAGCAACCCTCAGTTTGTTCTCTGTATTTAAGAGTCTGGCTGTTTGTTTGTCTCTTTTTATTTGTTTGTTTTGTTTCTTAAATTCCACATATGAGTGAAATCAGGTGATATTTCTCTTTCTCTGTCTTATTTTGCTTAGTATTATGCCCTCTAGGTCCATCCATGTTTTTGCAAATCACAAGATTTCATTCTTTTTTTATGGCTGAGTAATAGTCCATTGTGTGTGTGTGTGTGTGTGTGTGTGTGTGTGTGTAGGTGTGTGTGTATTACATCTTCTTCACTCCCCAAAAACAAAAACACTAGTTGGAAAAGACATATGCACCTCTTTGTTTATTGCAGCATTATTGACAATAGCCAAGATATGGAAGTAACCCAAGTGTCCATTGATAAATGAATAACTCTGTTTTTAACCATTGGATTAATTAAATATAGTATGTAGCTCAAAGGCTCTAGGTCCTATAAGTTTATAAGAGAACCTCAGAGTACAAAGAGCATAACTCTCATAAAAATGGAACGTATTAACCTTTGTTGATGCCTTTCAAAGTAATTAGCTTTATTCTTCCATTCACTTGAAAATGAGAGGACCAACCAAAGGAAAGGATGCCCTGCCATGTCACATGTAGGGACATGCCCCTACAAAAGTGTTCCAAAGGTTGTCACAACAGTTACTGCCCTTTCTATGGATAGCTTTGTGTCTTACCTAGAGCAGGTGTTTTCAGGAGACAGGAAGCAGTTACATCTTAACTGCTACTACTGTGATCATCTTGCAAGAGTACTAAGTAACTACCAAAAGCTTTGTATAGCCTAGTTTTTGAGCCTCCTATCACTGTGTTCAATTTTAGAATGTTAACAGAACAGGTTACCAAATGTATCCCGTTCCATTAACTTTAAGATCTAGATTTGAAAAGTGATCTATTTTATTTGTAGTCACTAGATGTGACAGTTAGAACAAATCAGACATCAGGTGCCTGGCTGGCTTAGTTGGTAGAGATGTGACTCTTGATCTCAGAGTTTTGAGTTCAAGCCCCATGTTGGGCATAGAGTTTACTTAAAAAAAATACAGAAAACTAAGAGAGAGAGAGAGAGAGAGAGAGAGAGAGAGAGAGAGAGAATGAATATAAGCCAGACATAAAGACCAGGCTGCCTCATGTCAAAAGTTTCTATTTCCATTGGGAAAAACATTTAGAAGGGAAACTAAATAGAAAATAGTTTGCCGTTTAAAAGGGAACCTATTTAGAAAGAAAACTTTAAACATGTAACTTTCTTGAAATAGGAGCTAATGCCTTTTGAAAAATATCTGCATTAACTGTGGATTGTGATTTTTTTTTACTCCATTTTGATGGTGAGTCTGCTTAATAAAATGGAAAAGAGAAATCAGAAATTTGGATTCTCTGACCTTGCCACATACAGTTTGATCTTCCACAAATAATATACAATCCTCTGAGCCTGCTTGTACATTTCTCTAAAGGGGTTAGTAGTTGCTGCCCGTGCTACAAGTTTCTATGAAGATTAAGTGTGTGGTCCTGTAATAGGACTTAAAATGCTGCAGTATGAGGTGGACATGAATGCTTTATTGTAGACATTCATGCTTTTCCCAGCTTATCCCAGGCCCGGGGGCCAGAATGTCTACAGTTCCCTTCCAGCCTCCAGTGCCAGGACACACTAAGGCACATGACTTCCTGATTTCCACGTAACACTGCCCCTGAGCAAAGTCAGGGGAGAAGCACAGACCAACAAGCCCTGTGACCTCAGTCTGTAGTTTTCAGGAGAATTGAAGGGGGAGAGAGAGAAGGAGAGAGAAAGAATCCCAAGCACGCTTTCCCCCATCAGTGTGGAGACCAATGTGGGGTTCGAACCTACAAACTGTGAGATCATGACCTGAGCCAAAATCAAGAGTCAGACGCTTAACTGATCAAGCCACCCAGGCACCCCCAGAAATCATTTTGTTTCCCATGATGACATCAGTATCTGTTTGTGGCCCAATTCTACCGAATCCCTCCCCAGACTTTCCCTCAAGATAGTGTTTCCTAGGCCATATGTAGCTCTGTCTCAATTTACTTCATTTTTTAAATTAGGATCTTTTTCTTTTGTTTTTCTTTTTTAAATTAAAATTTTTTTAAATGTTTATTTTTGAGGAAGAGACAGACAGACAGAGAGAGTGAATGGGGGAGGGACAAAGAAAGACGGAGACACAGAATCTAAAGCAGGCTCTAGGCTCTGAGCTGTCAGCACAGAGCCCATCGTGGGGTCTGTGAGATCATGACCTGAGCCAAAGTCAGAAGCTTAACCAACTAAGCCACCCAGGATCCCCAGGATCTTTTTCTTTTGAATCATAAGGTGGGGGGGGGGGGGAATTTCTAGGGCAGCCCTGAGAGGCAAACACATGGTGCAGCTTTGACCAAAGACCTTTACCTTTTGTGGTTGGATTTCTACTGTGTACTTCTCTGCCCTTCTCTTGTGGCCTAGCAGAGTGCAAATAATTCCACAGTTTAGCTGTGGTCTTTCTCTTCCTCTAAGGTCTGGCTCATGTTCCTAGTTTACTAAATTTACTACTGTAATACCTTCTATTTTTACTAGCTAATCTGGTAACTTTTTACCTTTTTCAATACCATAGATTATTATTCTGATCAATACTTCCAATACCACAGAAGTAGGACTGGATTGAGAATCCAGAAAAATGTGTTTTAGGTTTAACCCAGCAATGTGATATTAAGTCACTTAACCTTCTGGGACCTCACATGTTTTCCTTTCCGTAAACTGAGAAAGAATCCAAAGTCCTTTGTTGCTTATGTTATATGAAATATTGACCTTTCCCAGTTAGACACAGGGATACAAATGGCAAAAGAAACAGCGCTCTCCTGATTTGAAAGTACAGTCACACAGGGAGGATTCCCAGAGCACCTCATTTCTATTCCCATTTTTATTCACCGACTAGGTGGTAAGTTTCCATATAAATATTTATATGTCTACATATGTGTGCATTGATAACATTTTAAAAAATAATAGTTTTCCTCATGAGAGGAGTCTAAGGAGGTTTGACCTTCATTTGTCTATAGAATTCTCATCATGAAGTGAATATCAATGATGAAGGTGACTGTCATGGAAAAGTAAGTGACTATTTACATTTCCAATAAAAGTGTGCCTTTTAATGTATTTCTGAAACGGAGAATTTTTCTTTTGTGGAAATAATTCAAAACTTCCTCATGGTTTTAAAAGGCACACCAGAACTGATGAGATCCCCAGGCAAGGCTGATGTCAACCAACCTGACAAATCTCTCTGACCCTCACACTGCCGAGCATCAAGCTCTACTAGGTTCAGCTTCCTGGCAATCCTGACTTTTCCCAGCTCTGTGGGATGCCTCATGCAGAGGACAAAATAATATATTAAGTCAGGGTTAACGTCACCATTTGTTTGGTCAGATAGATTTTTAAAAACTTCATGTAAAAGAAATACATAAAATGACAGCCCTGAGCTGGCCCTTTGTGTTGATACGAGCAGAGAAGAGCTCTGTCATGAAGACA